GTAAAAAAAAATATAAAAGGGTGAAAGGCTTGGGGCTCCTGGCTGGCTCAGTAGAGCATGCGACTCTTGATCTTGGGGGTTGTGAGTTCAAGCTCTATACTGGGTATAGAGTTTACTTAAAAAAAAAGTGAAAGGCTTGTCCAAGCATATTTTTAAGAAACTAAAAACAGCCTCATCAATTTTACTACATAAAATTTAGATTTCTTGCAGCGAAGTAAGACCATACACAGAATAAAAAGCTGAGGACAAGAAAATAGCAAGATGTATTTTCCACGACTGGCATTATGTAATGCCTTGCATTTCTTCCTTCCAATGAGTAAAGTGGATCAGAAATAAATTTAAAGTTCTTTGGTGATCAGTTCACAAAATGGTAAACCAATCCTGTGCCCTTGATCTTTTTTGTTTTTATTTTCCACTGTATGATGCCATTTGGGGGGATCTTCATGTCTCCAAACCATTCTTCAAGGTCATGGCAGCCTGATGGATGCTGGTCAGGCTGGATTCCAGTTGGAATGAGAGAAGTTTCCAGAGGCTCACTGTGCCAGTTTGACAAGACAGAAAGAATCCACCCCGCTGGTGCTCAGAGGGGCAGTGCTCAGGTAGGAGGTGGAAAGGCTCACCCAAGTCACACTTCTCTCTCCAGGGTGGGTCTGATTTTGGTTTCTCTGCTCCAGCCTGCAGCAGGCTCCAAACCCTCTGAGGCTGGTGGCCAAATTGTCCTGGCCACACTTATCTGGAGGGCAACAGCGGTCCCCATTGCAGGTCAGAGCACTTTGCCTTTTCCTCCTTTCCCCCTTCTCTTTTGGGGAACTTTTTGAAGGGGAGGAGATAAAGTCCCAAGGATTCCGAACTGGAAGCATTGGTTGGGACGGTCTTTGAGTAGGTAGATAGATGTCTGACCTGGGTCTGACCAGGTAACCTGGGGCTGAAGCAGAAGGAGCTGGCTCTTCTTCTGAGTCTAGTGAATTAGCTTTTCCACAAATGGGGTTAGACCTCAGACAAGACCTCACCCATCCCTCTTCGACCCTCCTTGCGCAGACTCCCCAAAGGGCCTCAGATGTGCCCCAGCCTGTGTTGGTGATTCTGCCCTGAACATTGCTCTGTGCATGCAGTGCCTCTGATGTCTGTGTCAGCCCAGGCCCAGAGTCAGAGAAGACTCCGGGTAAAGGGAACTTGCAAAGGCATGTGGTCCAACAGCTTAGGAGAAAAGGGGTTTCACCTCCTGTGTGAACATCCCTATGCATTGCAGGCCCTGCCCGTGACTTGGGGGCCAGGGGAATTGGTGGTAGAGGGTCAGCAGCATCTACAGCCTGGCTCTCTGGGCCTCTTAACTACCTCCCTGCCCAAGCAGAAGGCTGGGATCTCAGTCACATATCCAAGAAGCAGCTTGCCTGGTCAACCCCAGAGCAAAAGGCATTTAGGGTCCCAGATCCTAGAGAAAGTCCTCTTTTAATCAGAATGGTCTGACTTCTATGACACATTGCTTGAGAGTGGGAGCCCCTCAGGATGAAGTAGCATACCTGAGAGATCAGGTTCAGGCTCTTTGTAAAACACCCAGAGATTCTTTCCTCTCCCATTCAGAAATACTAACTCAAACTCTATTATTTTTATGAATAAGGAATAAAATTATACAGATAAAGAAGAGACAGATCCTGTGTTCCAATTCAGATTTGTCTGAATCAAATTCTGCACTCTCCCCACTCTATGCACTCCAATTTAATTAATTAATTAATTAATTAAAAGTAAGCTCTAGGGGCGCCTGGATGGCTTAGTCATTAAGTGTCTGCCTTCGGCTCAGGTCATGATCCTAGGGTCCTGGGATCGAGCCCCGCATCGGGCTCCCTGCTCCACGGGGAGGCCTGCTTCTCCCTCTCCCCCTCCCCCTGCTTGTGTTTCCTCTCTCACTGTGTCTCTCTCTGTCAAATAAATAAAATCTTTTAAAAAATAAATAAATAAAAAATAAAAGTAAGCTCTATACCCAGCCTGGGGCTCAAACTCACAACCCTGAGGTCAAGAGTCACG